GAAACTTCATTAAGATTCTAAGAAACGAAATTTATTATTTTAAGTAAGATAATTAATCTTACTTTTCCAACGAACAATGTTGGATCATGACATGGACTTAAAACAAAAATTTTTTGTCCTTGTTTTAATCTTCCGCTATAAACACGTGCAAATGCAAGAAATACATTTTCATTCGATTCTGTTTTTATTGAATCTCTAACATCTTTTTCTGTCGTCGACTGATCGTCGTTTTCTACAGTTTCATTTGTTAATTCTTCATTTGTTGTTGTTGTCTCTTCAGCTTCCTTTTGTTTAATAAGTTCACGTTCTTGTGCTATATCTTCAGCAGTTAATGGTCTATACAGAAAAAAAAGCATGAATCTGTTAAAGAAAACAGTTCCCTCTTACTTATGTCTATTTTGTGATAGAGCATTCTTATTCACATAAAATAATTTTGAAACATAAATTATCACTGGTTCTTGATCATCACTTGAACAATTAATAAATGCTTTCAACAAAAAAAAATTCATAATAAATATTAATAAAGTATAATGAAAAATTTATCTTGTTTTAATTGTTGAGTTTCTGATAACAATGTATCAAATCGACGACTTTTATTACACATTAATTGTTCAATTTTTTCTATATTTAATGCTTTTGGATTTGGAAGTTGAACAACAACCATATCTATTCGAAAATAAAAATGAGATTTTTAGTTGAATACTAACTAACCAAAGACAGCAGAAGCAATAGGTAACCATTGATTAAATATAAGATGTAATGGAACAGAAGTATCAGTATGTTGAATATCTCGTGGAGTTAATTTAGCACCAATTGATGTTGCAATTTTTTCAAGTTTTTCATTATCACTAAAAAACATGAAATTTTTATTTGATAGAAAAAATCAAAATACAAACCGCCGAATAATAATTGCTTCATAAACACTCCAAAGATTTTCAAGAATAAATTGAACAAACATTGGTTTTTGTCCTTTACTCTTAAAACTTACTCTTAATATTTAATTCAATTAGAAATAATTATCTTACTTGTGCACCTTTACAAACACGTTTAGTTTTTTCATCAAAATAATAATCACCCCATAATGTTTTCATTAATATTTCTCGTTTAACTGACAATTTTTTTGCATATAAATCTGCGAAATGATGAATTCTATTTATAAAAAGAAAACATTTAGATAAAAACTATAAACATCATTTGTATACCCAAAAGCCCAACCATCTAATGTACTAGCAAAAAGAACATTATTATAATCAGGTGAAAAATATATTTGAGATTCATTTTTTGTCCAATTATCATCACCATCATCATTATTTGCCTAAATTTATTCATAAAAATGAAAATTATTTTCGATTAAAGAATTAATATCAACCTTTTTCATAACTTCTTGTTCAGCCTGAAAAAGAAAGAATATAATTCGAAATAAATCAAAGAAAACTTTTGCTCATAACTTACACTTTTTTCTAATAATAAGGATGTAAATTGTTTTGCAACAACATCATTTATATGTTTAAGAACACCATGAATACGCAAATAAGCTTCACGTGGACTCCATTTAAGTTCAACAAATAAACGATCAATTTTATTAAAAACAAGAATAATACGTAGATGCTCAAGCCAAGCTTGTCGAAGAGCTGCTAAAGTCTATAGAAAATCAATTTTATGTAACAATATATCTATATATTCGAAATTTAGTTTTATTTACTTGTGAACGAAGTCCTTCGACAACATCGACAAGAATTATTGCACCATCACAAAGTTGAACTGCAGTAGAAATTTCCGATGAAAAATCTACATGTCCCGGAGTATCAATAAGATTGATTAAATATTTTTTATTATCTATATAAATTAAAATTAAATATTCTTTTGTAAATTTAATAATAAATTAAACAAACCTTTTTGATGAACAAGTGAAACAGCACTAGATTTCATTGTAATGCCTCGAATTTGTTCCGCTTCTAGACTATCCATTAAACGGAGCTATATCAAACAATAATCATAACATTAACATCTTTTTTTTTATAAGAATTTTTTTTACTTGCCTTGCCAGCCAAACGTGTCGAAATAATTCCATTTGAAGCAAGTAAATCATCAGCTAATGTTGTTTTACCATGACGAACATGAGCCAATATACATATATTACGAATAGATTCAGTATCTTCTTGTAATTCAAAAAGAATCTCTGATGAATAAGTTCTAGTAGTTGACATTGTTGTCTGAAAGTATTTTGTGGTTTTTTTCTCTAAAATAAAGGATCAATTATGGTCTTAAATAAATCATGATATAATAGCTACGTGTGAAGTTGTAATTAGGCAAGAATAAAAAAACAAATATATATATATATGATTCAATTTACACTCGTTCTTCGAAATGAGAAAAAAAAGAAAATAACGCTGATAGAGAAAGTAAAGCAACAGAAAAAAATGTTGAAAAACAAACAGGAAAATAAGACTAATATAATAATATTGGTGTTGCTTGGTTGCTTTTCTTTATTTCCGATACCATTTTTGTAATGTATCATATCGTTTAATCTTTCGCTGTAATTGTAAAACACCATAGATTAACGCTTTTGCGCTTGGTGTACAACTAGGCATGTATACATCAATTGGAATAATACGATCACATCCGTGTATCTATCGAAGAAAAGATTTTTTAAAGTTTATAAAAACGAATCATTATTAATGTATTATCGCATGTGAATAATGATAATAACCACTATCATTAGCACATGAACTCATCGAAATAACCCATTTATGATGAGGCATTTGCTCGTAAAGTCGTCGAGTATCTATATACAAATATTATCGAATATCATAATCCTGACAGATGTAACTGATGAACGAGCAGTTTTAGCTAGTCATACCCGCGCATTTGATATTAAACATTTTGAATCCAAACTAGATACGAATACAGGTTATTGGTCGCCAAGCACTAGTTCAATCGATTGGTGCAAACGTAATTACGTTGTAACTCAGTATATTGCTGAATTTTGGAATTGCATTTCAAGCTTCTCTATGTGTATATTATCTGGAATATTACTCATTCGAGGTTTATACAACAGGATTGAAAATCGATTTTTATTGTCTAGTTTGTGCTTGGGATTTGTCGGACTCGGATCTGCCTATTTTCATGGTACACTCTCACATTTAGGTCAAATGGCAGATGAACTTCCAATGGTATACTCAGCGATTGTCGGTTGGTTTATAGTATTTAAAATGGACAAATTCGAGCAGTTAAAGAGGAGAAAATGTACGATTGACATATCACTTGTATTTGGAATATTCTATGGACTTTTATGGACCTATGTACGTAGTGTACAAACGTTTGTACTGATATTTCAACTACATTTTGCCTTCATGGTGCTTGGCGGCATTTTTAAACTGATCTATTTATATCGACAGACACCACATCATACATATTGGATAAAGTACCTAATCATTATATATATTGATTTAATAGCTTCAGCTATGATATGCTGGATTATTGATCAACAGCTGTGTGAACGCATGAATAGTATCAGTCGGTTTAATCCACAACTTCATGCTTGGTGGCATGTAATTTGTGCTGTTAACGGTTACGTAGTAATCGTGTGTGTCGAAGCTATGCGTCTTCTATCAATCAAATATCAACAGCATCAAGTAAAAAACGCTAAATCTCCCGAACAACCATTTAAACCGGAAGATCATTTACATATCGCCGTTTATTTAGGATTACCTTACGTAGATTATTACAAAGAAAAACAAACGAATGAAGCAAAAAAACAGTAAATTATTGATAGAAATACAAAACTACCCTAGGATTTCTACGAAAGTACTCATAGTGCTCCGGATCACTGAAGTTTCATATTTTATCCATGAGGAACAATTCGAAATTTTAAAAAAACAACGTCTGACAACTCGCTCACTCCAATAAGCCATCGAAAAAAATTATACCTTTCGATGTAACTTGACGAGCTCTATCGAGTCGTATAATTTTTGTCGATGGCTTATTCGGCTGACGAGGGAACCGTCCGAAGTGATTAACCGCTTTTGAGTTCGGACTCTATACATAAGACAGACCCTAATGAGATATGAAAAACCCCAAAAGGACAAG